TTGCCTGTTAAGCTCTACCTACAGCATCCTGGGCTTTCTCTAGGCTGCTCCTCCGTACTTTTCCGTATTTCTCCCAAAAGCCAATTCCCTAGGCTTCTCCATATCATCTCAGGTATAGTCACAGTAATGACTGTACTGCCAGTTTTCTGCGTCAGTCAGCTTTCCAGGACTTTAACAGATGCCTGAGCTAATCACCTTATAAAGAGAAAAGTTTATTTTTGCTTCCAGTTTTGGAGGTTTTAGTCCATGATTCGGCTGAAGAAACTTTTTTTGGCTTCGTTGAAAATGAAGCCATCCTGACCTAATACTTTAGGACTGTGACTGCTGCCTCTGTCCAGTGGGCACCTTGGACAGGCATCTGTTAGGAAACTCACCACATTTCTACCATGGTGCTGTGTTTGACTTCTATACTGTGAATTATTTGGGTCTGCTGATACTTTATTCCTCAATTCCCAGTGCTAGCAGAGTTGCTGGCTTGTGGGCAGTCTCTGTATACATCCCCTGAGAGGATGGGAAGGAAACCAAGAAAAGGTCTGGATAACTTACATTTTTAAAAAAAAAATCTTCAGGGCCTGGCTTGGTGGTACACACCTGTAATCCCAGCAACTGACGAGGGAGAGGTCAGAAGATGATGGTCTGAGGCTGGCCCAGGCCAAAGCATGAGATCCTATCTAAAAAAAAAAAAAAAACTAAAGCAAAAAGAGCTGGGGGGGTGTCCCTTGAGTGCAAGGCCCTGAGTTTGAAACCCAGTATTGGCAAAGCACAAAGAAATTTTCTTCATTTCCCCCGCCCCCCCCCACACACACATCTGAAGCTGTTCCCTTTGTCTTCTCTCTTATTCTTTGCACAGCCTCGTTTTAGACTTCGAAGTCTGAGGACTTTTAAGCAAGGTGTCTGGTCCTTCATAAAGGAGGTACACCCCCAATAGTAGGTCTGGGTAGCTATATTCTTCAGGGTACTTCTCATCTCTGTGGAACCTCTGAGTTGTGGGTAAACATTGTCTCATGCCTCATCTGCTTGCTGAGTGAGGGAGCTCCTTTCTGTAGAGCCTGCGGGATATAGCATCGTCTATTTCCCTTGGGTGGGAAAAGCTTCCCAGCCAGGCATGGACAGATACCCTGGGGTGTTGAAGCCACGAGGAGCCTCAGTGGTACAGCAGTGCTGTGCTGAATTCATTCTTCACTGTCATCCATCAGCCTGTCAGTGCCGTCCCCTTGTTCCAGGACTATAATTCTGCTACTGAAAAGAGTCCTGCTAACCCCTTCACTAGATAGCCAGAGCTCAGGGTAGGGAGATGACAGTGTGTCCTTTCTCCTATTACTGGGCTCATTTGGATCCAAAAATGATACCAGTATGAAATACCTCCAGGTGCATGGTGCGGAAGAGACTACTATTTTAACATTAAGGTCTGGGCTTTTGCTGCATGGTTAGCCAGTAACATCTGCTAAGTTCCTGAAGGCCTGTGTAACTGGGCTTACCAGTTGGCTTACTTACAACTTTGGCTCCCAGGCTGTGTGATTTCGGCCAACCCTGAGGGGTGTAAGGCACTAGGAGAGATTCCTAGTCACTGGGTGGAGCTGCTTGATAAACCAGGAGTCATCAGTTGGTGAGGATGTAGAGAGGGAGCTGCCTTGGAGCAACTGGATGAAGAGGCAACAGCTCATCCACTGTGGGCGTGGTGCAGTGGTAGTTTGCCTAGCAAGTGGCAGACCCTGGATTCAATCCCCAGCACCAGAAAGGGGGGAAGAAAAGGAGAGGCACATTCTGAGGAGCTTGACGTCCAGGGTCATAACCAGACTAGCAGCAAGTACACTGAGCTTAGATGCTGAGCCTTTCGCCTAGGGCTCCCTGACTGCCCCTCCACAAAAGGGTTGATTCAGTTTGGGGCAGTGTTGACCCTAAAGGTTTAGAGGCTCTATGGGATCTATTGGGAGGATTGGAGAGGTGGGGGGTGGGGTACAAAAAGTTCTTGTTGTCGTCTTTTTGCATCCTCCTTCAGCTCTTTAGCCCAAGGCTTTCCCCCACTTCCTTCAGTTCCTTTGTAGATTCCAGGTGGGCAGGGTTGATTGCTTTCTGGCCTGTGTTTGCCAGCTAATTCCAGTCCACAGCCACTGCCCTGGCAACCCCTGCCTCACCACTGTGGCCAGAGTCCTAGAGGCTGTGGCCGCAGTAGGTCTGAAACCAGCCTCTGTGTAAGTATTGTGAGATTTTTTTCTTTTTCTTTTTTAAAGCAGTTAATATTTCTGGTCAAGAGAAGTGAGAGACATTCTGATCTCTCTTAAGATGGAGGCTGGTGTAATGATTTGAGTGTGAACTCAAAGATTCATGTGCCTCATTGGGTGACCCAGAACTGGGAAACTCGTCACCACCAATAATTCCTGTCCATTCTCCTCTCCGTTTTTCACCCTCAGCTTCTTTCTCTCCTTTTTGTCTTTGTTTTTGAACAGATACAGCGGACAGGCCTGTCTTCCTAGCCTCTCTGTTCTATCAGTTCGTTAATAATGGGTGACTGGAACTAACAATGCTTAACGTTTCCTGAGCTTTTACTATGGGCCAGCTACACTATCTCATTTTTAATCTCATAAACCTTGTGAATAGGTTCTAAGCTTCCTTTTACAGATGAGGAAATTCTGGGTGGTTAAGACACTTGCCTAAAATCCCAAAGCTAAAAGCCAGTAGTATCTGGTATAGAAACTAGATTGGAATCCAGGTTCACCTTATCCACAACTGATAACTTCAGCCATATGCCAGCTCTACCAGTCTGTGTTCTGTTACTATTACCAAAGTGTTCGAGGCTGGGTTATGTATAAAGAAATTACAGCCAGCTGGGCATGTGACCCAGCTTCTAGGGAGGCTGAGGCAGATGATTGCTGAAGCCCAGGAGTTTAAGGCAATTTAGTGAGACCATATCTCAAAAAGAAAAAGAAAAGAGGTTTGTTTAGCTCGCAGTTGGAGCAGTTGAAGCCCAAGATCCATCAGCCCCAACAGTTTGGTCTCTGGTGAGGGCTTCATGCTGAATGGCGTCACGGTGACAGGAGCGTGTGCAGAAGAGATCCTGTGGTGGGTCAGGGGTCAGGTTTGCTCTTTCCACAATAGCGCATTACTGTGAGAACTACATTAATCCCTTCTGAGTGCAGCACCCCTAATGACCTTAAATACATTCCAGTGCACTAGCTCTTACTTCTTTTGGTGGGATAGGAAGGTGAGGGTACTAAGGGATGGAACTTAGGGCCTCACACTTGCTAGACAAGCACTCTACCACTTGGGCCATGCCCCCAGTGCTTTTGTTTTTAGTATGTTTTTCAGGTAGGGTCTCACACTTTTGTCCAGCTAGCCTGAAATCATAATCCTCCTATCTTCACTTCTCAAATAGCTGGGATTACAGGTATATACCACAACACCCAGTCCCTAGATCCTACCTCTTACAGGTCCTACCACCTCAACACCAGCACTCTGGAGATCAAGCCTCTAGCACATGAACCTTTGGAGTTCACAGTCAAGCCATATTCAAACCATTGTACCAGATCTTAAGAGAGATCCAAATGTCTCTCACTTTTCTTGGCCCCCAATATTTATTGAATGCTTAAAAAATTCTTATACACCCATTTCTCTTACTTCACAGAAGACCGATTCTTCCTGCCATCATAATCTCTCTTTAGATGAGATGGGGTGTGTTGAGGGTGGTAGGGCCATAGACCATAATCTCTCTTCAAAGAGTCAAAATGGATGTGTATTTTGGAAATCACCTTCTATCTTGAGAAACTCTTCAGTGTCTCTCTTACACGTTTTGAAATTATTTCAGATTAAAGTGAGGTTAATCTAGCCTCTGATTCATCTGTTTGGTCTTTAGATGAGTAGAGGCTTAGGTAGGGGAAGTGACTAACACAGGGTCATATAGTTAGTTAATAACAAAAGCAGGGCAACAACCCAAGTCTCCTGGCACCTGGTCTAGTATTGTTCTGATACACCTAACAAATGAAATCTCTACTGACTAACAAATGAAATCTCACTGACATCAGGGCGGTGCGTTTTCATTTATATTACAGAAGCTAATTTACTTTTCATGGAAAGGGGCGGGTGGGTTTTTAGCCTCAAGACCAAGTATGAGGAGTAAGAAGAAGTTACAGCTTTTATCTGCACCATATTATTCCCTGATTCCCTACAAGTGTTTCTAAACTGCAGAAAAATTCCCTTGCAGTCCAACAGCTCATACAATTTCAGCATGAAATGCCTGACAGATCACCTCACTCTTTTGCCAAAAATACAGCACAGTGTCCCTCTCCTGACTCTGACCTTCTATAGTAGTTTACTCCTCTCCCAGCTCACCCTTCAGTACCACAGTCTGAAGGACACCCCCAGTTCCTTTGGCTGTGTCCCTTCTTTGTATTTTAAGGGCTGGATGTTTAAAAGTTGAAGTCACTGACTTGCAAAATGAGCAGCTCTTTTGGAGATCATGCTGTTCTACCAGATTGTTCAGCTTAGGGCATTAACACTGGGTAGCTGCTGGTTTTATGCAGTTTTTAACCAAGAAAGTAAAACAGTAGTATCATTTCCCCAGCATCAGGACTTGAAAATCACCAGAAAGCTTTTTACCATATAGCCACACAAAGTCCTTTGGGAAATGGAATTGCTGCTGCCATTTTTATGCATGGATAGAGACCCAGAAAGACCAAGGCAACTCAGTGTGCTCTGCATTCCTAAAGCATAAAATGTTAACCTGTAGGTCTAGGTGAAGGTTATGTGAGAACTCATTGTGCTCATTTTGCAACATTGCTATGTAATCTGAAATTATGTCAAGAAGAAGTAAAATAGAAATATTGAGCACAGAATAGCCATGATTAGAGAAATAAGCAGTGCTATCTTCTTCACAGTATTTACTTGGTTTCTTTCCAGTCTCTGAGGGGATAGCAGTCTCTGCTTCCAAATCCCCACTCCCTCTCTGTGGAAACTCAGCTGAGGAGCTGCTAATGTTGAGGGGTCCTCTTCCCATGTCTCCCCAGGCGCAGTGAACCTGCAGGCCGCCCTCACTCGTGGCATACAACCAAACTTGGGGAGAACCAGCCTGATGCCAGCATGATGCAGATATCTCAGGGCACAATGGGCCCTCCGTGGCACCAAAGCTACCACTCCAGGTAAGTGGCTGCAGTAAGACCGAGGGATTGCTGTCTTTCAAACATCGTGTTCCCAGGAGAGAACGCTATCTTTTCTGGTTTGAGAACAATTTCTCATATTCGCCCTGAATATCACATCTCTACTACTCTTCCTCATCCTCTTAAATGCCTGCCTTGTGTACAAGTCATCCTTACATCTGGGCTAGATGGGCTTGAAAGGTGGTCAGAAAGACTTTGAGTACTGGATGGTTACTGGAGGTACTGATGAGGCCTATAGTTGATATTCCTCAGTTACCCATGATAATACTTACTATATGAGAAAATTTGACAGACTTCTTCCCTTGATACTTAAATGCCCTGTCTGTTTTAGTCAAGATCATATCAGTTTCTTTTTTTTAAAATCTGAATGATGCTATGCATGTATTTAAACTCTCGACTTGGGTTTTCTCCTTCCATTAAAGCAGTTTATCCAGTGTAACTCAACAACAGAAACATCTAAGATAGAGCATATCTCTCAGTGCATACGTGATCTTATGTAATCTTTCATGCACTTCGTTAAAACAGATAAATATTATTAACCCATTTTGTAGAACAAGAAGTTGCAGATTGGAAAGATTAATTTGTCCCAGGTTGAACAACTACTCAATACCTGATTTCAGCCAGGGTGCAGAGTTTTTGAGTGTAACTGCTAAGTTAGACTTCTGCTTTCTAGTCACTGTTGTGCTGTTCGGGGGGGCGGGGGGAGGTGGGAAGAGCAGGGCCACCGAGAGTGTTACAGGAGAAAGAATTTATTATAGAACTCAGACCTTACATAACTGGGGAAAGGGCCAATCAGACATATTAAAGAGAAAGCCACGGGAGGACTGTCCTACACCTACTGCAGACAAACTGGTATCTGTCCTTGATCCCAGGGAGTCTGACTCCACAGCATGTCATTTTTGAGAAATGCCTGGATAAGGGTAATGGTAGAGAAATGGGAAGGTTAAGAGAAATGAGTCATTTCAAGCCTCTACATATAAATAAAATGCAAATACTGATGCATGTGGGGGAGTGGCGAGGAAGGAAGGGAGCACTGGGAAGCTTCTGAAAGGATTACTGTACAGAAGATGGCTGTGCATTTGGCAAGGCCAGGACTGAAAGCCCATAATGCTCGTTCATGTATAGTCAGGGGCCAAATCCTAGACCTCTCACTGGTAGACTCAGGACAGACTCTCTAAGTGTGTCAGGGTAACCTTTAGGCTGCAGGAAAAAATGATGCCTGGATACCCTTCTTGTTACAGACCTTCCTGTCCCAGGCCTTCCCAGTCACTCTGAAGAAATTTATTTTCACCATCTGAGCCATCTGTCCCAGAGAACAGGTCCTCTCACAGTGTCCCTCTCAGCAAAAGTGCACCACCCTTGTTCTACAGGCCTGGATGTGTCAGGGTCTCTAGAAGGTAAAGTGTGGGAGCCTAGCAGAGTTGAAGGAGGGACAGCACAGTGGCTGGCAAAGAACTTGGGTTTCTAAGTCAGACCTGGGTTTGTATCATTTACCATCTACTGCATGAACTCAAGCAGATCATTTAACTTCTTTGATCTTAGCTTCCTTTTCTATAAAATTGAAATAATAGTGCCTATGTCACTGTGTCATTGTGAGGATTAAATAAAATAACATATAGCTTCTGGTACATAGTAACTATTCAATAAATGAAAATTAATTATAATAATCAGGCTGAAGACTTAGAGGTTCAGTGAAACCTGGTAATGAACTTGAGGTTAAGATACAAACCATCACATGCTTATAAACTCAGGTGCGTATTAACAGGGCCACTGAACAGTGGGATGCTTTGGAGCCTCCTAACCTGTAACCTTCTTAGAAAGCCCTAAGTCTGAAGTCAAATGGGGACAGAAAAAAATGTGCTGACCCTAAAGCAGAAAAGAGACCACTGCCATCAGTGCGTAGGGTAGTGTTTGCAGTTACTGTGGGGAGCTCCAGCCAGCCTTGGGAAGCAGTGGAGTTAGCATCAGAAGTAGTGTCTTCCAGAGGTGATGTATCTCCATCTCCCACATCCCCCTCCTCATCCCAGCACTCACAGGGGTTTAGGCAGGTACTGTGTCACCTGTCTGCTCCTCTGATGCAAGCTTCAAAATGGCACCTCTTGATGTGACTATTGACATGAAAACACTGGGCAACAAGAGGAGACAGGAAAGCTCAGATTACCCAAAATGCCACAGACTTGTGTATCCTCTTCTGCCCTGGCACAAGGTACCCTAGGGTCTGTGCATTCCGTGTATTGGGCTTGCACCTCTGACAGAGGGTTTTGCCCTACCCCTGACTCTGCTGCATGATGGTGACCCCTGACTCTGCCACTCTGAGAGTGGCAGCTGCCGATGGAGAAGTGCTGTAGGTGTGTTCTGAGGAGCACGGTGGCTTCTAGTGGTCTAGTGGGCCAAGTCAATTGATTGGCTTCTCTCTGAGATCCTTAGTTCTCCAGTTCAATCTCAGGCCCAGTTTAAGGATCTCTTTCTTACTAAGAAGAAGGAGGATGAGGAGAGGAGAGGGACAAGAGTGAGGCAAGAAGAGAGAGAAGTACAAGGCACTGAGGATTGCTAATTTAAACTGTTTTGTGAGCTGGGCTGGATTTGGAATTTCACTGAAATTTTATTTCATTAGTTTTCGGCATGACCTCTTGTCACTATCTTTTTCCTACCTTATAGAAATATCACAGAATGGTTTTAAAGTGCTCAAGAAGAAACCGAAAAGTTATATAGTCCACCCTCTGACAAGAGGCTGAAGTAACATCACAATACTGAAGTAGCAGTACTTACTCAATGATTCCTGACTCAGCAAATATGAGCACCTACTGTGTCTCACGTGGTTTCTAGGTATGGGGAATGTAATGGTGAATAAGATGTAAATTGTTCCCACCCTACAATATGGAGTGATAATCCATCAGATGCTCCTTAAAAAAAAGCTTCTAGGGTCAAAGAAGTTTAGAAAACATTGCTTGTATATTTCCCTTTGAGAACCATGGACAAACATTATGTTTATGAAAGACTCAAATCTTGCAGTAAATAAAATTAACTTATTTAGCCCAGTATTTTCCAAACATACTTGATCATCTAAGGAATTAATGTTCTATGAATACACTTTAGAAAGTGTTTCCATGTTTTGTGCTCTTTACAATGTTTTAAGTATTTTAAGAAATATTTTTAGAGCTGAGCATAGTGGTACATGCCTGTAATCCCAGATTTACTAGAGAGGTATGGTTAGAAGGTTGAGACCAGCCCAGGTCAAAAATAGATAAATAATAAAAGTTAAAAGGCCTTGTCTCAGAAACACAAGCTGGGTGTGGAAGCATGGACTTCTGTAATTCCAAGCTACTTGGGAGGTGGCTCACAGTCTGAGGCTGGCCCCAGGGCAAAAATTCAAGGCCCTATCTGAAAAACAAACTAAGGCAAAAAGGGCTGGAGTTGTGGCTTAAGTGGTAGAGCACCTGCCTAGCAAGCACATGGCCATAAGTTCAAACCCCAGTACCACCAAAAAAAAAAAAGTTAGTTCCAGGAAGTCTTCTCTGAAGCAGATTTGAACAAAGAGAAGAAGCGGGCCAGGTAAAGAGCACTTAGGTGATGGGAACAAGTACAGAGGCCCTGAGACAAGATGATGTCTTATGGGTTTGGGTCACAGTCGGGAGTCCCTTATGCTAGAATGCAGTGAGAAGGAGGGAAGCAACAGACAGAGGGACTAGAGAAGTGGGCAGGGCTGAGCTTGATGAGGACTTTGACCCTCTCAGGATGCACTCTTCTCCATACTAAGGCTGCCTTTGATCAGGTTGGAACTGGGACAGGATTAGAGACATCATTCCAAATTGTTCTTGCCTCCATTAATGCCATCTTGAGAGCAAGAGTGGCAAAGTTAATAGAAATGAGTATTTCCAGAGAATAATGGAAAACTTGTTCCTACAGGGGAACATCAGGGCCCGTATCCCTAGGCACCCATAGTAGTTCCTATCCAACAGCGCACCCTTGGGTAGGAGGGAAAGCACCTCACAGAGGCCTCACCTGATGCTCTTCACCTGAGGTTGGTGACAGGTAGGAACGCCAGACACCCTTACTCTAGTCTGGCTGGAGAGTTCAAGTGTCTAGGCACATTTTCCCCACTAAATATTGTTTCAGTCAACCATCAGTTTAGTCACTTTGTGTTCATGTTCTTGCAGAACTGAATTATCCTTTCAGCAAAAGACTACTAAAGTTCTCAGCAATCTGGAAAAGGATCAAGTAGTGTTTACTACCTGCATAGAATTGCAGAAACAGCCCTATGGGGTCAACTGCTTCCTCTGGAAGTATTAGCTCTGTATCTTCTGTTGGAGCGAAGATAAAAGGAAGCATAGTGGGTCATATGGAATTTTGTTTAACTGGGCACTCTCATGCTTTTCTGTTTGGAGAGGAATTGGGAAATGGGGAGGGAAGGGGTTTCAGTAAAATGTGGCCATGTGACATGTGTCATGGCATGAGGGCCCGCTCAATGCTACTTTTTCCCTTGAATTTATACCTGTCCCTCCCAAAGCAGGATGCTCTGTTCAACAAATATGATTTTCTGTGATAGAGAAAAATTACATTTGTTGAGGTAAGTTGCTGTTAATTCTTTATGCTGAAAATGTAGTCTTCTTTTCATTGAATTCTATCACTAGTTTTGACTCAGAATATGGTCATTGTAGTTTCTTGACATATTCTGTGGAGACATTCCACCATAAAACATTATTACACACTTGGCTAAATAAGACATCACATTTATTTACTTGAGATCTAAAAATATAATGCTCCATGAATTTTAATAGTGCTTAAATGCCTCTTAATTTAAGAATGGAAAATCTAGGCAAGAAGTCTTGTGATTTACCTTTCTTTAGAGAACCATGAGTTATACTGTTTAAAATACGGAGCTTGCTGTTTGATTTCTGAATAATTTATCCCTTCCAATATGACTTAATATATACATAATTCTTTTCTTTTGGTGATAGATATTAAACCCAGGATCTTGAACACTCTATGAACTGCTCTACCACTAATCTACATCCCTAACCCATATATATTTCTCAGTAGGTTTTTCAGGGCAGTTTTAAACTGAATGGAAGATAGATTTCATATACACTCCTTGGTCCCTCCATTATCAGCATCCCTCTCCAGGGTGGTATATCTGTTAGAATTCCTAAAGCTTGATGGACATATCATCATTACCCAAAGTACATAGTTTATATTTTGGTTCACCATTGGTGTTGTACATCCTATGAATTTGAATAAATTTTGTGACATATACCTACCATTATTATATAAGAAAAAGCACTTTTACTGCCCTAAAAATCCTCTGTGCTCTGCCTATTCATCCCTTCTTCCTTTCTAGCCTTGGAAACCACTGACCTTTTCACTATCTCTATATTTTTTTATTTTTCCAGTATGTCATATAATGGAATCATACAATATGTAGCTTTTTCAGATGGCTTCTTTCATTTGATAGTTAAGCGCTTAAGTTTCCTAAATGTCTTTTAATGAACTGATAGCTCATTTCTTTTTAGCATTGAATAGTATTTCATTGTCTAGATATATCAGCTCACCTAATGCATGATATCTTGATTGCTTCCACAGTTGGGCAAATATAAATGAAGCTGCTAGAAACATCCATGTGCAGGTTTTTGCATGGTCATAAATTTTCAGCTTCTTTAAATACAAGGAGTATGTATTAATCAGTTTTGTATTATTACCTAAGGTACACTACTTTATAAGGAAAAGAAATTTTTTGAGTTCAGTTTTGGATACTGAAAGTCCAAAATTGAGTAGCCCCATTGGTTCAGCATTTGGTAAGAGCCTAATGGTGGATGGCATCACAACATTAGGAGGTTATGTGGGAAGAAGACATCACAGCTTAAGACAGGAAGCCAGAGAGTGATTCAGGGTTGGGTTTGCTCTTAAAACAACTCTTCCACTGGATACCTTATTCCCTTCCAAAAGCAACTTTCTCAGTGACCTAAGGAGGTCCTATTAGGCCCCACTTCTTCAAGGTTCTGCACCATTGCCTAACACCACCAATCTAAGGATCAAACTCTCAACACATGAACCCTTGGGGAACAAAGTATATCCAAACCATAACAGAGTATAATTGCTGGATGTAACAGTATGTTTGGTTTAGGAGCAGCCAAACTGTCTTCCAAAGTGGTTAGCCATTTTGCATTCCCACCAGCAATGAATGAGAGTCCTGTTGCTTTACATCCTTGTCAGCATTTGATGTTATCAGGGTTCTGCATTTTGGTGATTCTCAAGGGTGTGGAACATTTTTTCATATACTCATATGCCATCTGTGTGTTTTCTTTGGTGTACTATCTATTGAGGTCTTTGGCCTATTTCTTAATCAAGTGTTTGTTTTCTTGTTGAGTTTTGAGAGTTCTAAGTATATTTTGAGGTTATAATTAAAGCTAATCATAAGTAATTTTGTTTTGTGACAACTTTCCAGGGCATGTAATACTTAAACTGAAACTGTTTTCCCCTCTTCCACAGCCAGGGTATAAAAACCACCTGGAGAAGCTGTGCATACAAAGGTCTTACCCTCCTTAGTGGACATGGAGGTTCTATGCCGTCCCCCCGGCTATGGAGTCCCAACCTCCAGGGCCTCCTGTGATTAAAACTTTTACAGTCTCCTCTCCTCCCCTGTCTTTCATCAGCTTTTTCTGACTGTAATTTCTCTCATTTAGTTTTGTGTTTAGCTTTCTCACTGCAAACAAATTGTCTCTAGTATAATTGTAATTCTAGGAAGATTGCCAGGGAGAAGCTTTCTATTCCTTAAAAAGGAAAGATATTAACGAAAAACATACACATGTGCTCACAAAGTCTCCCTCATCCTTTCACGTGCTTATTCTCTTACTCAGCTGTTTCTTTTTTTCCACAAACAACCCCAATAGACACAAAATTTCAGCCTCTGTCACTGTTCCTCCTCTTCCTCTCTTCTTTCCCCTCTCACCTCACTCATTTCTGGGCACGTGCAGAATGTCATTTCCAGCTCAGCAAATCACATCAATGTACTGCCTTATGCCCAAGGCCACGTGACTTCCTCTGTTCTTCTCTTTCTTCTAGCAATCCTGGGTGATTAATTAGAGGCACAAAGGCTACAGTGGTAGGCATTCAGTCCCAGTGATGACACAGGGAAGCTGAGCAAGGCCCAAATATGGCCCTTTTTACCCATCCTTCCAAAAACCAAACATCTTGCATAAGAGTACATTTATAAGCTGGGTCCTGTATCTGTCAGCCTGCTACATATACTGCTCAGTGACATGGACTGCTTTATTTTCATTTCTTCCAGCTCTTCTACAAGTGATCTCTCCAACTATGACAATGCCTATCTGAGGCGGAGCCCTGACCACTGTAGCTCCCAGGGGAGCATGGAAAGCCTGGAGCCTAGTGGGGGATACCCACCTTGTCATCTTCTTTCTCCTGCCAAGTCCACCAGCAGCATCGACCAGCTCAGCCACCTCCATAACAAGAGAGACTCGGCATACAGCTCTTTCTCCACCAGTTCTAGCATTCTAGAGTATCCACCCCCTGGCGTATCTGGCCAAGAGCGTTCAGGCTCCATGGACACTACTTCTGCTCGAGGGGGTCTCCTAGAAGGGATGAGGCAGGCAGATATTCGCTATGTCAAGACAGTCTATGACACCCGGAGAGGAATCTCAGCGGAGTATGAGGTGAACTCTTCTGCCCTGCTTCTTCAAGGCAGGGAGACCCAAGCATCAGCAGATGGCCAGGGCTATGAAAAATGGCATACTGCTCCTCGGGGCAGGGGAGCACCACCCCCATCCTGGAGCCAGCAGTGCCCTGGTTCTTTGGAGACTGCCACTGACAACCTGCCTCATAAAGTGGGCGCGCCCCTACCCCCAACTAGAAGTGACAGTTACGCAGCCTTTCGGCATCGAGAGCGGCCCAGCTCCTGGTCTAGCCTTGATCAGAAACGGTTCTGCCGACCTCAGGCAAATTCTTCAGGTTCCTTGAAACCTTCATTCATAGAGGAACAGCTGCATACTGTCCTAGAAAGGAGTCCAGAGAACAGCCCCCCGGTGAAGCCCAAGCACAGTTATACCCAGAAGACCCAGCCTGGCCAGCCTCTGCTGCCAACAGGCATCTACCCTGTACCTTCCTTGGAGCCACACTTTGCCCAGGTACCCCAGCCTTCTGTGAGTAGTAATGGGTCGCTCTACCCTGCGCTGGCCAAGGAGAGTGGATATACAGCCACTCAGGGAGCTTGCAGCAGGACCATCGATGAGAATGGGAACCAAAATGGCGCTAGCAGACCTGGGTTTGCTTTCTACCAGTCTCTTGAAAATGACTTATTATCCCCCATGGAGAGGAAACCAGAAACTACAGCCAAGTATGTCCCCTACAAAGTCCATTTTTCTTCAGTGCCTGCAAATGAAGAGGATTCCTCCCTAAAGAGACATCTCATACCTCTGCAGGGCAACAGCCCACATGCCAATGAAAGAAAGAACAGCCATTGCAACAAACCATGTTCTAATCACCAAGGCCTCAAATCCCCTGAGGCCTGGCAAGTGAGTGGAGACAAGAGATCTTCTAGGCCCTTGGAATCTTGGGAGAGTGATTCCCAGGAAGACCACAATGCCAATCTCCAGCAAAAGCTGGAGAGAGAAGGCCTAGGCCAGAGCCTGTCGGGCAACTTTGGCAGGACCAAGTCAGCCTTCTCATCTCTTCAGAACATTCCAGAGAGCGTGAGACGGCAGAGCAGCCTGGAGCTAGCAGGGGGAGCCCAAGAGACTTACCCTGGTGGCAGGCCTACCTGCACAATGAACACCAAGGTGGAGGACCCTGGAAGGAAAGCTGTGCCTGACCACAGGGGCCACCTGGACAGGCCAGTTTCCTACTCAAGGCCTGAGGGAAGAAGCAGTGCCTCAGCTTCGTTCCACAGTGCAGACCCAAGGTATGAAGAGCTGCCCACTCCACCACACCAGCAGACATCCAGTCTGGGCAGGAGGAGACTCAGCTCAGGAGGTGCCTCTGGTCTGCAGTGCTTTCAGTACAGGAAGCCCCACTGCTCCGTGCTGGAGAAGGTTTCCAAGATCGAGCAGCGAGAGCAAGGGAGCTACAGGCCCCCGAGTGTGGTCAGCTCCACTTACAGCCATAACTATCGACCCAACAGGACAGTCCCAAATCCCAGTACTTCTGGGAGTGACTTAGAGGAGACAAAAGGCAGCACCCGTTCCTCTGAGCCCCTAGGCAATGGGGAGCAGCACTTCAAATTCGAGGAACCTAACTTGGAAGAGGTTTCCAGGCAGCCTTGTGGTCAGCAGCTAAGGACCGCTGCTGACAGTGGCCGTGGCCCCCAACTCCGAGGCAGTGAGCCTCCAAGGCCCGATGCCCGCCTGCTCCGCAGCCAGAGCACCTTTCAGCTCTCCAGCGAAGCCGACAAAGAGGCTGCTTGGCGGGAAGACAGGCCCAGCACACCGGAATCACCCGTGCTGGACGCGCCCTTCAGCCGCGCCTACAGAAACAGCATCAAGGATGCGCAGTCCCGCGTCCTGGGGGCCACCTCTTTTCGCCGTAAAGACCTGGAGCTGGGCACGACCTCAAGGTCCTGGCGGCCACGGCCTGCCTCTGCCCACGTGGGGCTGCAGAGCGCAGAGGCCCCGGCACCATCCGCGTCCCCACACACCCCCCGGGAGCGGCACAGTGTGACCCCGGCCGAGGGCAGCTTGGCCGGGCTTGCACCCGCAGCGGTCCGGAGAGGGCCGCGCCGGCGTCTGACGCCTGAGCAGAAGAAGCGCTCCTACTCGGAGCCCGAGAAGATGAACGAGGTGGGGGTCTCTGAGGAGGCCGAGCCTGCGCCCTTGGGCCCGCAGAGGCAGGGGCTGCGTTTCCCCGAGAGCACTGTGGCTGACCGGCGCCGCATCTTCGAGCGCGATGGCAAGGCCTGCTCCACGCTCAGCCTGTCAGGGCCGGAGCTGAAGCAGTTCCAGCAGAGCGCCCTGGCCGCTTACATCCAGCGGAAGACGGGCAAGCGACCGTCCGCTGCAGCCGCCTGCGGCCTCCAGGAGCCCGGGCTGTTGGAGCGCGCCCAGAGCGCCTTCCTCCCTGCCAGCCCTGAAGGCCTCGGCCTGGCCGCCACCTGCAGCCTGAGCTCGTTGCGGGAGCCCAGCCTGCAGCCCCGCAGGGAGGCCACCCTGGTGTCCACTGCTGCTGCCGAGGCCGTGCGGGCACCCCGAGATCGCAGCAGCTCGTTTGCATTTGCTGGTGGGCGCCCCCATGGGGAACTGCGGCGCTGGGACCCCCAGGCCCGGAGGGAGGTGCCTGGTGGAGCTACCTATGGACCAGCAGGCACACAGAAGGCGGACAGGAACCCTGGAGGGTCATCTTCCTGGGGTGCTGTGGCCGGCAGGACTGCAAAGTCCATGTCAGCTGAGGACCTGCTGGAGCGCTCTGATGCCCTGGCCGTCCCTGTCCACGTGAGGTCCAGGTCATCTCCCATCGCAGACAAGAAGTGCCAGGTAGGTGAAGCCAGTAAGACCTGGCCTAGGACTGTCCCTTTGGTCCTGGAAGCATTTGTGGGCATAATGTTCCTAACCCCTCTCCTTCCTCTTTATTTTTCCTTTTAAATACAGAAAAGTAGCATTTGTTTTCCTGATTTTTTTTTTCCCCTCAATGCCCTACCTAGCTTACCTTACAGAGATACATAAATGTCTGCATAGTTGTGTACACATCTTATATAGCTTTATGTATGTATGTACAGATCCTTCATTTAAGGAAATTACCCAGCTCTCAATGCAAGAATGCATGATTAGGAGGTTGGGAAAAGTTAGGAGTTATCTTTTTGGAATTTTGCTCCGCACTCCCTCATGGACTAGAGACTGGCTTGAGTACTTTTGAAGATTTTAATTTTGCTCCTACAAAATATCTAGAATTATTGATGTTAATAGTCATTAGTTGTTGAGTGCCTGGCCCTTACCTAAGCATAATTAGCTAATTATGCTTTACATTTAGTCCTTATGACAGTCCTATGCAATAGAGTATATTGTGTGTATTAAATCCATGTCTCTCTTTAGAGAACTCCTATCTGAGCTCCCTCTGTGCATTATCCTGGTGAGGAAGAAAAATCAGACTTTCAAAATCTCACATGAAAGGATTTTCTAATAAAGGCTCTAAACTATGCAAAGACTATAAACTGCTTTCCTCTGGAAACTTCAAGCAGAATTAGGTCCAAACCCTAAGCATTCTGACTCCTGGAAGTCTGCTAGTTTTCCTTACAGTTGCTCCCACCTAAGAAGCTGTCAGGAATTCACGTGTGTTAGCACAGGGAGAAAGAACACCCGTCCATTGCCCCTTCCCTTCATCCATTCTGCTTTCTTCCACGTCAGAGAAGTTAGCCATTCCACAAGCATTTGTAGAGCTTCTGTTGTCTGAAAAATGCTGTGTTGCAGGGTTGAAGGAAACATAAATACTGCTTGTTCTGTCCTGGGACTGACAACTGAGGACTTAGGTATAAGTAAGGAACTGAGTGTTGAGGACTGTGGGGGTGGTGATGAACACTGCTGTGGGTGAAAGCGTCTCCTGAAGGAGATGGGATTTGAACAAGGAGATTGACAAGGGGCTGGGGTATGTGTGGAAGAGAAGGTGTTAATAGGAGGAAAGCAGTTAGACAAAGATATAGTAGTTACCAGCTGGGAAGTTGGCAACAGTGCTTTTGAAACACACAGGAACACACTCACACATGGCCTTCTGTGAGGGAACGCTGTACCCTCCCAGATATTTCCGCTCGGAGATACTCTCTCCCCAGCCCAGCGCGTGTGCACGCAAACACACACACACACACACACACACACACACACACACACACACACACACACACACACACACACACACACACACACACACACCCTTCAATAGCCATTTTTAATTCCCTCACCTTACCCTACCATTAAACTCATTTATAACTCTTATGTGAAACATGAAATGTTAGCTAGTTTTATGGACACCAGTAGCTTACTGCATAGCAATTCAAACATTTGCTTCATCTCCCCCAGTATTCTAGAGAAGATGCAAATGTTTATGAAAAGCTAGCCATTTCCTCACTAGATACTGTTATTCTGTCCCAGGGAGTTGGCTGGATAACTGTGAACGCTGTTTTGCCTCTTCCTCTAAATATTTCCCAAGCCTCGTCAGTTGGGAAGTAGAGCTAAATAAAACATAGGTGATGTTGAGACATGTTCAAATCCCAACTAAGTATATTACTTGAAAAACTTTTTAGAAAGATAACTGAATACAAAATAACATTTAGGTGCCCTTTTAATAAAGGGAATACCATATTTAGATATTTAATTTAGAAAATATGAAGCCATGGGGAAAATACCTCAAAATGAAATACTTCTTTTGTGCTGCTTTGTGCCAACACGTTCTGAAAAATTCTTGAGCATGCTTGTCTCATTCTCCCGTCCAGCCCCCAGCCCTGGCCTGACTGGAGTCATGGCCCACAGCAGGTCCTGCTCTGTGTGTGCTCTTCGTCAGCTGCCTTACTTGTAATAGTTAAAACAAAACTAGTTAAAAATAAAACAAGGGGCTGAGGGTGTAGCCCAGAGATAGAACACTTGACTGACACATACAGGCCCTTGGTTCAAGTCCCAAGCGCAACAACAAAAAGAAGCAAAATTAACCAAAACACCATGTAAATGTTTTGGTTCTTTAAAATACATTCTGATTTTTAAAGTTTTTGTAGATTGCAAGCACTCTAACTTTTATAGTTAAGCTTTTGTGAAGGCTTATTAATAAAGAATTTTTCCCAACTCAACTTAAACAAGTTGAGTGACCTTGTAGAGACTTGAGTTAAAACCAAAATGTGGAGCCTATTTCTGCTGCTGGCTAGTTTAATACATCCCAAACATGCTAGGCAATCAGATGCTGATACAGTAGAATTTTTTTATTTATTCTTTTGGCTGTACTGGGATTTGAACTCAGGGCCTTGTGCTTGCTAAGCCTGTGCTCTACCACTTAGTAGCATTTGACAAGGATATTCTTTTCAAAATTTCATTAGTGAGGACACTTTCTATCCAAACACAAGTCATGATGAGAATCAGTTTCCCTGAATGACAATTTATGATTCTCCAGCCTGAAGTAGTGAGGGCAGGAGGCTGCCACTTTGAACTTCTAGTAGCCTGAGACCTGCTCAGATGCTGGCCAGATTGGGCCTCTCCTTAGCTGCTGTGGTTCATCTCTGAACGTGCAGGGTTCCACTTTCTCACTTTCAGTTCCTCTTCAGTTGGCTGGTGTGGTTGCAGAACAGACAGATACTAGGGGATGGAGCTTAAGTACACAGCAGAGTCTTGCCTATTTCCACTTACTTTCCGTGAGACCTTGGAAACTTAACTTTTCTTAAAAGGGTGAGCCCTGCAAAGTAGTAGAAAAATATCCAGACATTTCTGCTTCAAAGATAAATTTATACCTCTTCATTGCAGAGATTAAAATAGATCAGAACCTATTTGGAGAAATAAGATTCCTGCTGGGAATTTGTTTCCAGATGCTGAGTTAGTGGCTTCTCTCATTCTCAGTATTTTGAGACATTCACATTCACCACGAGATGGTGTGACAGATTTTTTTTAATTGCTGAGGAAATTGTTCAGTCAGCATATGGCCCCACAGTGTTGGATTCTATGGCTTGATTCCACGGGGTGCAGCTGGTAAGTCCTTTTTAGCACCTCTCAATAAGCAGCCATTCAAGCTTAGGCGTAATTAACAGATCCATTTTCTACAAAATGTGACGTTACAATAACCAGAATTTTACTATGTGCCAAATCATTGTATTGTTTTATAAGTATAAAATTAATCCTCACATCTGTGTAATGAGATAGATACTATTATTATCTCTGTGCTACAGAAGAGGGAACTGAGGCCCAGAGAGAATACGAAATTGCCCAAGGTGGTTAGGAATGACTCCAGAGTCTTTAAGTGTCTAAATCACACTGACTCCTTGAATGAAGAGACTGGGGTGAGGAGAGGGAAGCAAAAGTTAAAGCTTACATCTGAAAATACCACCCAATGATTCTTTTAATATGTATCAATTACTATTACATTTAAATAACAAGATCCAAATCATAAGGATTTCTAATTAATTCTAATAGATATGTAAACTAATATCCTAAAGTAGTTGAATATTGTTGTCTTTATATCCTAAGTAGTTGAATATGTCCTCAAATTTCGATGTCACAGAGATACTAGAATGCCTTAACTTGTAACCCCCATGAAGTGAAGACTGGGATTCAGTAGACTTCTGGTTTACAGTCTTAAGTATGCAGGCATAGTTTTAAACCAGCTTTGATAATTAACAAAAAAGTAAATTAGATGCTTAACATAATAATATAATTCTATCTTGGAATTTCTCTTATTGCCACTGCTTTTTCTTATATATTCTTTGTATATGGGCTTTATAGTTCCTAGAACATTATAGAAAACCAAGTCATCTTTGACAGGTATATATACCCCAATGACAGCAAGAAAATACAACAGGAATTTATACTCCTTGGGCTTCTGCTAGTTTGGGAAGGCATTTTCCTTCTGTCCAAATAGCATCAACAGGAAAACCTATTGCTGAGTCTGACTTTCTTTAGTTTCTGTATACCCACATAAATGTCCATTTAAGCTTGACATTCCAGGACCAAATCATATAAATATAGAAGTTAAGTTCATTCTCATACTGAAATGCAAAGGCTGTAATTGTATCCAGCCTGGGCTATTCCAGTTAATTATTGGCAAAGTGGTACATTTATATCAACAGAGAAAAGGGCAGTGGAGAAAGATATAAAAGACCGAAAGGTTTCATTCCCTATAGCAATATTTGAATGAACCAGAACACAGGGAATTCACCTTTCTCGGAGTATTCAAGACTGATTTCATCCATCACAGCCACTACTTAATCTATTCAGATTCCATGGAAAGATCTTGGGCTTTGAAGAGATCCTGGCTTACTTCTAGCTTCTCTACTTATTTAACTGTGGGCTGCTTTATTTCTCTGAACTGCATTCACACACACACACACTTTAAATTACAAAAATTAAATTATAAAATAAATGTCAAGTACCGAATATTCCAAGTGCATAATTTGTGAACTGCAAGGTATTTAGCAGATTGTCTAGCACAGAGTAAATGCCCAATAAGGGGTAACTACAATTATTAATACTCAGGTGTTTGTCTCTTCTCCCTGCAACCACCTTTGACTGTTTTCATTACTTATGAGTACCTCTACCATTACTAAGGGGGGAAAGAAAAGAGAGAAAGGTGGGTGAAAGGCAGTTAGCTCTTTGGACAGGGAAAATGGTGAAATAAATTACTAAAATGATGTTTAGAGATTGTATGTGAATTTATTTTTGTTTTCTACTTGTGTCCTATTATCATAAATAATTGAGAATTGACTGTATTATCCTCATTGGCAACATCATCATTTTCATCACGGACCAATCACATCGGACAGATTTTTCACTCGCGTTTTACACTGTTGATCCTTTCAGGACATCAAGATATACCCTTATTAAAAACAAATAAAACCTATCCCTAAAAAGTCCTCAGACTTACTGAAATCACATGTGGATGAGATTTTTTTCCCAGAGAATTTATCTTGGCCTCATTACAAACCAGATTCATGTCTTCTCTATCTGTAATTAAAGAGTACTTGAGAGTTTTGCAAAATGCAGTAACTATCCTTTTCCTGTCATCTCCCTTGTTTCCTCGCTGCCATTTCAAAAGCTTGGCCCGTTGAATTCACCGTTGTCATCACGTTTCCAGTATCAAAGTTGTTTTGAATTCTGGCGGTAATCATCATCCACCTTCTACTTAAGAAGTATTCTTGTTGGGGGAGGTACCTGGTGAGACAAATTAAAGTTCAAATCCTACTGTCACTTTTGATCTCGGGCCTATCTTCTCATCAATGCAGTGGGGTCAGTAATACTTCCTGGAGCTTTGAGGACCAAATGGGAAAGTGTGCTGGAGCTCTGCTGTCGTGGCTTACATATTGGCAGGTCACCAATAAAGAAGTGTTGCTTTTCCTTCCTCCCTGGTCTCCATTGGTAAATTAAACACCTGTTCATTGGTAATATTGCTCTGCTTTTCTTGTCTTTCAAGGATGTGCTCCTGGGGGAAGAACACGGCTTTGGTTTTGTGAAGGATCCATATTATTTGGCTGACCCTGGATCTCGGTATGTATGTGTAGTTCTAATGCCCTTGCATGTGAATGCTGCTGGAGTTAAGCTCCTCCCATTCCTTTCTACTGGAAATTGAAATGTGGTGTGATGTTGCATAGTGTTGTAGGCTGCCTTTTCAATTTGTCTATGCTGTGGGGAATTTTTTTTTGTGTTTTTTATTTATAATTGACTTTTTATAAGAATGACATGCTCAACAGAGACTGTGAATACGTGCGATTAAGGAAATGCTTGACTTCTGACAAGTTTAACATCAGGCTAATTAGTGGAGATGCTTTTCTCATACATACCCTGTGGCTATCACACCTGGGGCCAGCAGATCTTTAACTGTGCAGAGGATCAAGTCTGGTGACTAAAGTACTAGGGAAAGAATAGACATTTCACGAACCACTTATAAACTCAAAGTCATAATTTGTAGAAACAGAGACAGAGAATGTCATTTTAAAAAAATTTGCCTTCAAGGGCTGGAGGTGTGGCTTAAATGGTGGAGCTCCTGTCTGGCAAGCACGAAGCCCTGAGTTCAAACCCGAGTACCACCTCCCCCCCCCCCAGAAAAAAATGCCTTCAAAATCATATCTTCTGTGGACAGTTTGAACTTTTAAACTATGCACATGTAGCTTAATAAGAGAAATTCCTGAACCACATCATAGAGCTTTCTGCTACAGAATATTACAACTAATGATAGTACGCTTAAACCTTCTCTGCCACTTCCCATCATGGACTTTTAAGCCAGTTTCTTCATGTTTCTTAATTCAGTCCTCATTTCCTTCTCTTTCTTCAGTTGCCTTTTCCATAGCTCAGTACTACCACACTGGAGCCGCCAGCATCGTTAGGAAACAGGAATTAAGTCACCTCCTTCATTTCTGAGAGTGTCTTTTCTCAGTTATGTGCTCTTGCTCCTGCAGCCATGTCAAAAGGGAAGAAAGGATTCTGGTGAGCCTGAGGACTTTGGTTAGTTTGGCTGCATTAATTAAAAGCCAGACCAGGGAAAACTAACAATGAACTGTAGCACTACTGAAAGAGACTGGTCTGAAGGTGAAACTAAACATAAAAGGACTTGAATAGATGTTTCTCCAAAGATAGTAGGCAAGTGGTCACCAGCACATGAAAAGAACCTCAGCACCAATAGTCTTAGGAAAGCAACTCAAAACATGTCACCTCACAAACATCAGGATGACGACTGCCAAAAACCAGAAAATAATTAGTATTGGCAAGGGTGTAGAGAAAGTGGAAACCTTGTGCACTGTCTCTGGTAATGTAAAATGGTGTACCAGTATGGAAAACAGCATGGAGGGTACTCAAAAATGTGGAAATTGAACTACATGTGAATAATGCCACTTCCGGGGATATCACCAAAAGAATTGAAAGCAACATCTTGGATAAAGTTGCATGCCTGTGTTCATAGCAGCACTATTCACAATAGTCAAAAAATAGAAATAACAAGTGTCTTTGGTTGAGTGAATGTATAAACAAAATATGGTATGTACATAGAGTAGAATATTATTCTGCCTTGAAAAATAAAAGAAATCTTGTCAGATGCTATAGCGTGGATGAATCTTGAGGATATTATGCTAAATGAAATTAGGACACAAAAAGACAACTGCATATTTTTACTTTTATGAAGTATTTAGCGTGGTCAGACTCATAGAAATAGAAAACGGTATGGTGATTGACCAGGGACTGGGGAAGAGAGAAATGGGGAGTTATTTAATGGTATAAGGTTTTCAGATTTGCAAGATCAAAAGTTCTGGAGATCTGAGTCACAACAGCAAGTCTTTTCTCTCCACCCACTCCCAGTGGAGTGGAAGTTGTCGTACTAGGCCAGTGCTCTACCACTGGGCTGAATTCCCAACCCACAGACATGTTTAACACTACTAAACTATACACTTAAAAATGCTGAAATTTTATGTTGTGATTTTTGCCACAAAATGCTTTTTCTAATGAGGAAAAAATTGCTCTCATGATCCATTCTTGAATAGTAGGAATCCTGGATATGTATCAACTGACTTTTTCTGAGCCCCTCACACCCTAATCCTATTATAAGATGGACTTGAAGTCTTTTTTTTTTTTTTTTAACCCAAAGTTGTTCCTGAAAAACATGAAACAATTACCATGGAGAAGTGTTTTGAAACAAACTAAGCATTTAACTCAAATCTTATCAAAACACACAACTTTAGTATGGTTCATGTAAATTAAGATTGAACATAAGCTAAAGCAACATAGTTTATTAGGCTGGATCTTTAAAGAATAAGTGTTGTTTTAGTATATACTTTAGTGTTGCCTCTCTTTTTAAAAAAAAGTCTCAGCTTATAAGAACAATAAATAACATAAAGGCACCTGAATTAGTCATTAAAATATCAGATTCCAGTTGACTCCGTGTCCTCTTTAAAGGATATGAAGTTTAAAATAGTTCATATCCTCCATTCTGAAGAGCAGCTAGGCAGAAGAGACAGCATCAGTGCATGAAAATTGTGCCATATGCTAGTGATGCCCCAGTGAGCACCCCCAAGGACCTCTTTTGATTGGATGTCTAACATCCCCATTGGGAAATCCACCAAGAAATGCAGAACAGCGTCTTAGTTGCGGAGGGGATCCTGATAAAGAAGCTGTCTCAGCAAAGGGATCTGTGATGGAAGGGCAGGATCTTAACTCAACCATCTGCATCTCTAACAAGGAAAAAAAAAAAAGCATGAGAAAGAGCTGATTTGGTTTTTTTTGCGGTCTTTCCCTTCTGTGTGCCATATTATCCTTGCCTGGCACTCAGATGGATTTATGGCAGACCCTGCACTGTTACTCGGATGTGGGACTAGTCACAGCTCTTCCGAGCAGTCTGATCTGTGAAATGAAAAGTGCCATCTGCTTTCCAGACTCCCTTGCAGAGTCAATTGCAGAACTTCAGAGGTGAATTTACAGATGGTGTTATTTGCTAGAGATTTTTTTATCTGCACATTAAGTCTTGCGTGGTGGGCAGGCAGTGCTGAAGATGCTTTTCTTTGTCTTGTTTTCTTTTTTCTTTCAAACACAATAACAAAAATATTATGAATTGCTGTGTTTTCCTTGGTCTCTAGAGGACAGTTGTTTAAACCACCATGCATAATACTTGCTTATTATTGTCAGTTTCTTTCTCCAGAGGTAACTGATTAGCTCCTTAGGTCAGATTTTTCCCCTCCTTTTTATTTTTCTACTTAGGAAATTAAACCACTAGGAGACCAGAGAAAATTGTAAATAAAACACTCAAACTCAGCATGCAAGTGCCCTCCAAGCAGATGTCTCCTTTGGGATCTTCTGGACAGGAAGAGGCAGCATTCTTTTTCCCCACACCCAGGAGCTATTCCTCAAAAGTAGTCCTAAAAGGAGCTAAAGTGACCTACTGTTTCGTTTCCTCTTATGTCCCTCAGCCTGCTCTCAGAAGCCACCTTATGTGTGTGGCGTATGCAGGGGGATTAATTAAAGGAAATGCCTTGAACGCAGGCATTCCATGTGATGTCCTGCAGGGGCTTGGGCCTGTCAAGTACTTTAACTTGGTTCTAGGAGCAGCCACGGGAAGACTGTGTGTGGCTGTGTGTGGTGAGGGGTTCTTCCCACTGTGTGCTTTTCTTATCTATATAATGAACCTTTCTTCAAAGCTCTAACCTTGGTGTCTGTGCCCTATTCCAGGTCACTCAGTTCAGATAGAAGTCGAGAAGAGACGCTCTTGCCCCTACACCATCCCACCCCTCATTGGGGTGGCTCAGGCTGCAGAGCAACTGGTGGTTCCTCAGTACCTAGTGAATGTCCTGAAGTCTCAGAGCATCCAAGGCAAACCAGCAGAACACCTTGCCCCCGGCCATTGCCTACAGGAGTGCAGGGGTACCTTCCAGACACCAGAGCTGCCACCTCAACCACACTCAGCTCCCCGCTGCCTTCACCTGTTCCTTCCAACCACTGCTCAAAGCTTGCCACTGATCAGCAGCTTGGAAGGGATGGTCAGGCAGGGCAACAGCTTCTTCCACCCTACACCCCTGCAGTGACCCACAGAAGCGATGGTCACATCCTCACCCAGCCTCCCAGTCCAAGAGGCCATGAATTGAACAGCCCAGAGCATGGGGTAGAAGAGGGAATGTGGAAGAGGGTCTCGCTGCCTCAGCGGCCACTGCCTCCCTTGGTGAAATGGGCACATGCAGTTAGAGAGGACAGTCTTTCTGAGGAAGCCTCGGCACCTGAGTTTGCAAACTGAAGCACTATAAGAAACAGCTGAATCTTCCAAGTTCATGCAGCACTTCCGACCCAGACACTCCAGGGAGGATCTCCCTCCGCATATCTGAGTCAGCCCTGCAGACCTCCCCACCACCCCGGGAGGACTATGATGACGAAGTGTTTGTGAAGGACTTGCCCCCCAAGGCCACTTCCAACCCCACGTTCGAAGCTCTTCCTCCACCCCCACCTCCTCCACTGAGCCAGGAAACCCCAGTGAATAGTTCAGATGACTTTCCTCCCCCTCCTCCAGAAGCTGTGTGTGAGGCGCTGCTGGATAGCGAGGCACCCAAGGAGCCTGACAGCAGGTGAGTGAGCATCTCCAGGCAGGGAAGCCTTTGGCGGAGGAGGAAGGGGACTTCGAAGGTCCTTCTGGTGGCTGTAGGAAAGCCCTGGGGTGGAGATACTTTCATATAAGCTCAGCTTATGAAGCTGCCAGAGCTGTTTCATTTGCTCACCTTGGGTGGTAGTCATACTAGTGTTTATGGGTACAGGGACTGAGAGTAGAGAGAATGAAAGCTAAAACCCAAATCCTCTTCCTTGACTGAGTTCTGGATCAGTTAGAGAATTAAAGATAAAAATAGGAAGGTGTACAGAATGTATAAATGCCACTTTTATGACTGAGAGAGTAGGGATTGAAGAATACTGCTTCTATCTGAATAAAAGATGACCTCCTGAAACTGAACCCAAAAATTGAGCAGGTTTACCTACCAAGTCACAGGCTGTGTTAGAAGCACACACAAACATGGTTTGGAGGCAGCCTCTCAAAGAGAAGACCTTCTCTGTCCATAGGAATGAATAAAGAGTAGAGCTAAAGGTCAGTGATGTTTAGGGGAAACCTTCTTTGGAAGCCAGAAGAATGGAGCAGGAACATTTCCCAGCTCATAGGCCCTGGGAACAAGTGATTTCTCATACCACCAAAAAAATTAAAAAAAAAAAAAATTACCTTTGGGGTAGCATCCTCAACACCATGAGAGTGGCACACCACCGTTACTTTCTATTCACTTAGACCTTTCAGAAACTTTGGAATCAAATAGCAACATTTACCAAAACAAAATTCCTATCAAATCTGTGTCTCTCAGCTAACGTCAGCCTCCCTGGGGCCAGCAGCTGGGCTCAGGAGAAGACAGAACCCCAGGGTTTGGCGGGGGATGACCCTGAAATGTAACTTCTCACCAACTCCTGATATGGGAAGCTCCTGCCCTGATGTTGAAAACTTCTCCCTTCTTCACCCTGTCATCTTTATCTTTCTGCTGACTCTCTGGTAACACTTTTGATTTTTTTTTGTTTTGTTTTTGTTTTTTGTATCCCTAGCAGTTCCAGCAAAATCTCCAAGGTGACAAGGGAAAGACATGTACTTAGTGCAGCCCATTTGGTAGGTAGTCAGATACTGCCCTCCAGACCCCAAAATTATGTCAGAGGTTCAGAGGTCAGCGAGTCCACCCCACCATCCGTCCTGAATGTTCAGCCCCAACTGGCTGGGTCTCTTGGCCAGCAGCTAAGCCCAGAGCAGCTACCTCCCAGCGTCATCCATGAATCAGTTGGTGGAACTCAGGGTATAGAAAAGAAAGTCAGTGCTGATCCTCAGAAGACCTCAGAAGACGTCAGATCAGAGGCTCTGGCCAAGGAAATTGTGCACCAAGACAAATCTCTGGCAGACATCTTGGATCCAGACTCCAAAATGAAGACAACTATGGACCTGATGGAAGGTTTGTTCCCCCGAGATGTTAACATGCGGAGGGAAAACAGCACAAAGAGGAAGACCCTGCAGAGAACTGTCAGCTGCCCAGGATGTGAAAGCAAGAGGTAAGTCCCTGGTAATGCCCTCAAAGTGACTGCAGACTCTTTGCATGGAAGTGATTTTAAGTGTAGAAATGCTTATCTGATATTCTCCTACTTCCACAGATCCCTGACCCAAGTGACATTCCATCTCTGCCTTAGAGGGGTGACCCTGAGGAGTACAGGTGTGGGGCAGATGCCCAAGACCAAGTGATAGCAGTAGTAACAATTGTTAATACCTGTTGGCTTGCTTTCTGTGTGTGAGGCACTGTATTAATTTCCTTATATAAACATTATCTAGTTTTCACAAGAACCATCTGAGGAAGCTACCAATTTTATTTCCATTTTACGGGAAACCGAAACACAGAGGAGTTAAGGTCATGTGCCAGCAAGACCCTAGAACACGTGAGTGATGGTGTCTGGATTTGAACTCAGCCTGTGACTGTGCCTGCTCTTGCACTGCTTACGGGATGTCCCTATGTCAGCAAGTGTGAAGTTGCCTGTCCTCTGTCAGAGCTGCCCGTGCAGAAAGCCCCAGGGCTTAGTGCTAAGAAAGGAGCAAGGAGAAGTGGTGGGCATGGCTGAGGCCTCCTCAAAGCTGAGGTGAACATGGTCTTTATAAAAAGGATGAGAGCCTGGAGAAACATTTATTTACTTCACCTTTGAAGCACTAAAGGTGGGCGTTTGCTCAAATTCTGAAAGCTGTGAAAGGTCTGAGTGAGGCACATTGTCCTGGCCTTGCTCAGCCCCTCAGCCTCTGTTCCTGAAGTGACCTGAGCCATGTGTTGTGGCCCTCTAACACACATCCCACTGCCAACCCCATGGTGAGAGAACCATGAGCAGTCTGTAGTTCTCATTCCTTTGATTTCTCTTGGGTTATTGCAGTATTTTCTCTTATGTTTGATTTCCTTAAAGGACTATTATGGGAAAGATTTAGAGGGTTTTTCTCTTTGATTTTCAATGAAAACTATGCATATTGACTGCACTCAGCAGTTAGTGGCCTCCAGACTAAATAAAAACAGCATTTCATCCAAATTTGGGCTTGCATTTTGGAGATTTCCTAACAGGAATACCATGTTTTGTTTTGTAGAGGAGGGAGAAAGAGAAGTGCTACTTAGTGCTTAGAAGCTGTCTGTTATGTTAGTAGAGGCTGTCTGATTGAAGGCTTACCTTGCCCATCCCCCTCATTTTCAGATTAGGGAAACAGGCTTACTGAGGTGAAGTGACTTATCCAGGGTCATACGTTTAGCAAACAGCAAACATTGCTGAGCACCTTCAGTGTGCAAGGCAGTCCATTGTGTACCACCCTCCTTCCCATGAGTTTCTGTGGGTGTGCCAGTCAGTTCACTGAGGGTGGTTGTAGTGTGGTTATTCTGTTATCTGAACACTCACTGTAAAAAGACTAAAGTAATTTTGAAATATATCCTTAGAAAAGCATTACCTCTGAGAACATAAGTTCTCTCAGTCAATTGGAAGTGAAATGGCCCTGTAGCGTTTGCAGTGTGGAGACTTTTCCAAGGATTTCAAAAGGAGGTCAGGCACCATCTTCTGGTAAAAATAAGCATTGTCCTGTTATGATGAGACTCAGCAAGCAGCTGTTGTGCTTAGTTAATTGGAAGCCTGAGAAGCCCAGGCTTCCCAGGGTTTTTTGTTTTGTTTTGTTTTTGTTTTTTGGTGTTTCTTTGGTTTTTTTAAAAAAATATTTTGCAGTCCTGGGGTTTGAACTCAGTACTTACACTTGCTAGGCAGGCACTGAACCACATAAGCCACTCCACTAGCACTGAGAAGCCCATTTGTAAGGCAATGGACACTCTAACAACAAAACTTGAAAACCAGTATGTAGCAGGAGATCATTCCCCTTTCTCTAACTAACTAAACACAAACATGCTACTTAAGAGAGGAGTCATCAGCAGGATGCCAGTGAAGAGTTTTTTGTGATTCTTTATTCCATAGCAAAATTACAGGCTACTTGTTAAATATATCACAAGATCAAAGTTAAAATTCCTCTCCAAGAAAACCTAACTTATTCCCATACAGTCATTTATCCACTGGGTAATATCTTAAATTGTAGTCGTAGCCCAGTAGTAGAGCATTTGCCTAGCATGCATGAGGCCCTGGGTTCCATCCCCAGCACCATAAAAAGTAAATAAAATTATTCTGCAGTCTGAAAGGTAACTTAATTACAGTAAAGCCAAGATCACAGATACCATGTTTCTCAAGTCCTCGTTTTTTTCTACAGTCTTGAAATCCCCCTGTTGTTCAATCATGGAGTATATTTTACATTTTGTGTTAGTTCACTGAAGACCAGCAAGCTTCAGATTCCCAGGGGCTTAGATGAATCATCACGCTTACTTAAGATGAAAAATTTTAAGTTTCCAACCAATAGTACAATAGCACCAGAAAGATTATGAGTAACCAAGGAAGAGCAGGAAATAACCTAAAACCTGTGATTTGCGAAATGCCTTGAAAATACTTTGGTAGAGTCATGGATCCATGTTGTCTTTTTATGAGATAAGGAATCAGAATTGTTCCTATATTTATCACCGAAGAAGAAGCGTGTAGAGGTTAAATGACTTGCCAGAGTCCTGATTCCCACTCCCATACCCAGCACTGCCTCTAGTGGTTTTCCATCCCAATTTGCTTGGTTTCATGAGCCCTAATTTATCCTAGTTTCTGAGAAAGAAATTAATCAGAATTTTTTTTACGTGTTTTGGAATGGACAGACAGCTGTGATCAAATGAAACTTCTGATACATGCTATATGGGCTGTACTTTGTGTTCCTTATGGTCCAGGAGTGAAGACAAGGAAATGGTTGGTGTGTTGGTCAACTGCCCTGCATACTACAGTGTGTCTGCTGCCAAGGCTGAGCTTCTGAACAAAATCAAAGACATGCCAGAAGAGGCTCGTGAGGAAGAGGAGCAGGGGGATGTCAACGAAAAAAAGGTAAATAAGGAATTGAGGAACCCTTGTTCTTTCCCCAGAAAAGTAGTCAATGTCCTTGTAATTAGCAGGGCTTCTGGCCCCTAAGCCAGGAAGGAAATAGAGCTGTGGCTCACCAAACCTTGCCAAAACCATCATTGGATTTGCATGGTGCTTCAGTTTTCTCACAGCTTTTCTGAGAGCAGGTAGGGCAGATAAGCTACTGTTGTTTTTATTTTTATAAATGACAAAAGTGAATCTTGGGGGGGATTGTTTTCTTAAAAGTCTCACAGCTAGAACTGGAATCTGGGTCCCCATCTTCCTAGTTGAGCACAGGAATCCCAACACTGTTCTGAGCAACTGACCAGTCAGTGCCACCTGTCTGTGTGATTTTCATTTCAAGGTTTATAGTCAAAAGGAAAACCAGAGATTCTAGAAATTCATTTAGGGAAAAAGGCCAATTGTCAAGACACTTGTGAGAAAAGGTAACATTAGTTTTTATGCATCCCTCAGCTCTCTTTGCAGTTTCTCAATGAATAGCTTACAAACACAGGATTGGAATTTAGCTGTTAGTCTTTAGTACTCCTACAGAAGTTTTAAATGTCAAACATTTCTAAAATGACCGTGCTGCTTCCCACATACCATGGAGATCTAAACCAGGCTGTATCTGTATGGCAGAACATTCTTGTGGTTCCACTTTGCCCCACAGCCCCAGAGAGGCTGCCTTCCACCAGGCTCCCAGCTCTCTTACATCCCAGCCATGCATAATACAAAAGGGCACTTCAGGCTTGCTGCATATTAAGAAAATAAGTGCTCTTTAGTGGCCCTGATGCTGGGAGAAACTTCCTTTGGTGATTCTATTTCATTTACTCTATACTATGTATCACAAGCCCTCTTGCTGCTCTGTTAGATGAAACTATAGGACATAAACTGCAGGGGCAGGGAGGGTTTGAGAAGCACCTCTGTCAGTGCATTCTTCCTCTTAGGGCTCCAGGTCTGCAGGCTCAGGGCCACAGGCTACTCAGCCACAGTGGTAACATGCTCTCTTCTCAGTGCCCCATTTTATGAGCCCTGTGAGTGGAAATTAGACTACTAATTTGCCTTGGGTCTGTCTGTATTTATCCCAAGGAAGGAGCCATGTAAATACCATTGCATGTATAGGTTGTCATGTTTTTTTTTTTTTTTTTTTTTAGCATTACAGAGGATCAAACCCAGAGCCTCATGCATGCTAGGCAAACACTCCAATCACTGAGCTGGGTGTCCAGCTGGTGTTATGACGTCTTTGAATATTTTAGAGATTTTTGTGTCTTGTTTTCTACATATAGAGATACCCGTGTTTTTTAGCTGAACAGCAAATTACTCATCTACTAATAGTCTTAATTTTATGTTCTAATTGTTTTTTTTATTACTTTGTTATCACTCTCACTCAGGATTATGAGGCAAAAAGATTTTTAGACTGAGAATATGAAAGAATAGAGGATTAATTCATCCTTACAGGAAATAAGTAATAACACAACTTACGTTTCAGGTGTGAGATATGTTTTTTTACATAGTACTGTATTCTTTATTTACACAAAATTTCACTGACACCTGTATTGGTACATTTTACACTGAAGTCATAAGAATTAGAAGACTTAGATGCGAGGGTCACACAAGCTGATAGATGGTAACGTCAGAATTTAACCTTACATCTGTTTGATCACAAAGCCTGCTAAAAATTGCTCCCAAGTCAGCTGCCTCTAAACCTTGCAGCCCTTTGAGCTAATATATAGGTTGCTTGAGTAATAAACCAGAGCCAGAGTTTGAGATTAAAACCAATTTTAGACCAAAAATATTACCACAATAGGGTCAATGATTTGAGGCCTGACGAGTCTTAAGTCACTTATAATTCCTTTAAATGGGGTAACAGGCCTCAGAAGACAAAAGCGCACTCAGAGATGGTACAGAGGGGCACAAGAAGAGGATGTCTCCCACATGGGCCTGACACTCAGTAAACGCTTGCTGAATGTTATTATAGAGGGCAGAACTAAGATGATTTTACCATTTAGTAAAGAAAAATATGAAGAGCACACTGGCACACTGTAGAAAAAATTATAGAATTAGAATGGTGGGGGCGGGGGGATGGAGGGGAATGGACTAGGGTTTGAATAAAATTAAGCAAGTAGACTTTATAAAATATTTTTCTTTATAAAATAGAAATGATCTCACACGATGATTGTGGGGACAAATCAACTAATGTATATTAATGTGCTGTTTAAGGTTTAAGGTGCAAGGCTGCATGACTTTCATATCCCATTGTTACTGGGGAGAAGTTTAAGGTGATGCCAGAGCATATGTGGTGTTGATCCATCTGGTGTCTTCTGTACGTAGTAAATTGGTTCCTTGTTGCTAACAAGGCCAGACGCTTATGAAGAAATGCAACTCACAATTATTTTCTCTCTTCACCCTGGAAAGTATTGCCTATAGCATCAAGAGGACACCCATTTGCCCTGGGGGGTTCGTCTGTCTGGTCAGGGAAGGAGAAGATAAGAATAGGACTATCACTAGAGTTCTTTTGGTTTCTTCAATTCTTTCTTCTGGGTCTGCAAATAGCCTAGGGGGTTGAAGTCAGTTTGTAAGTAAGATGGTAGGTTCATAGTCACTCACTGAGAACATATGTTCCTGCTTCCAGACACTGTGCTTTGCCTTGGGAATGCAAACACAAGTGTCACTATGTCTGCTGTCCTGGAGCCTGTGGACTGGTGAGGGAGATGAATTACTTTAGTACAGCATTTTAGATCTTCTGATAGACACATGTGCTCCTCTGTGCTAGGGGAGTCCAGAGGAGCAGGACTAACCCCAGAGGGTGGAGTAAGGAAAGACTACCTGGAGGAGGTAAATGCTGAGGTTATTGTGGAAAGATGTGTCCAAGTGAGTTAAGCCACAAGAAAAAAGGGACATAAGATGAAGGGAAAAGCATGGGGGAAACTTCAGAGAGAAGAAAAGCAGAGTGTGTGCAAAGTAAAGAAAGATACTTCAGGTAGTTTGCTGTTTTAGAATTTAAATTAAAAATTAAAAAGGAAGGCCACAATGACAGAAGATGAGGCTAGAAAGATCCTCATCACGGAGATCACATAGGACTCGTGTGAAACACTGAAGTTCACATTTTAGCATGTGGCCAAGCAGAGCCCTGTGATGCTTTGTTTACAAGGCTATAAATGTGTGATAGGATTTCCATTACTGTCACTTAGCATATCTGACTTGAAAACAAAAAGTATGTGAGCTTTAAATAGTGGTGTACTTAAGGCTTGTATTAGTGTAGCCAGCATAAAGTTGAAAATAAGTTTTTTCCTAAAAAGCAAAAGCTTTTCTGATGATGTTGGCATTGAGGTGTGGCTCAAATGGTAGAGCACTTGCCCACCAATTGTGCGACCGACTTCAAACCTAGTAACACCAAAAAAAATTTGGTCAGTGTTCAGTCGCCAAGGTTATTCCCAGACAGAATGTAGCCTTCCACCAAGGTCTGCAAAGTAGTAAGTTATTACCCAATATTTAAGGTTACTGAAAACCTCAGATGTATTCCCAGGCATGAAACTCAAAGTCAGTAGGAATGAGAGTCTGAACATGAGTAGGAATAAATATTTCTAAAATTGACACTTACACCTTAAATCAGTGCTTACAATCATTTGTATATATCCTAGATTAGACTATCATTCCAAGCAAATACAAATACTACTTAAAATATAAAACACCTTCATAGTCTGAACTTCAGACCTCCATAAAAAGTAAAGACAATTTCATTCGAGCTTCAGTTCTTTGGCCAAGCCCTGCCATATCTGTAAAGGAAAACTCCACTCAAAGAGACCCCACCATTCCATATTCTGAAGGCTGAAAGAAGAATATGTTGTATCCCTGGAATTGTTGTTCCCTAAGGGATTCTCTGTGACTCCTGATCCTCAGCTGCCCACTGCTGTTTCCCTGCGTTCCTGAAGTTCCAGGTTCCACTCTGGTCTTACTTCCTTGTAGCATAGATCTGGTGACAAACTCTTTATCTCAGAGTGTCTATTGCACTATCGCTCCTGAAGGATGTTTTCACTGGATATGGAATTCTGGGTTCATCATTACTCTTTCAGCACTTTAAAAATGTTGCTCCCCTTTCTTCTTGCTTCCACGGTGTCAGGTGAGAAATGCCTAGTCGTTTAAATATTTGATCCTCCTGTATTCAATGACTTCCTTCTTTTGTTGTCAGCAATTTGATATGATATGTACAAGACTAGTTTTCTTTGTGTTTACCCTGTTTGAAGTGTGTTGAGTTTCTTGACTCTGTAAATTTATATCTTTCATCAAATTTGGGATGTTTTCAGCCACTCTGTCTTCTTTTTTTTTTTTTTTTTTTTTTTGGTGGGACTGGGTTTGAACTCAGGACTTCACACTTGCAAAGCAGGCACTGTACCACTTGAACCACGTCCCCAGTTCATTTTTGCTCTAGTTATATTATTTTTGGAGATAGGGTTTCATAAACTGTTTGCCCTGGTTTGCCTCGAACTGCAATCCTCCTGGTCTCGGCCTCTCAAGTAGGTAGGATTATAGGTATGAACCACCAGCTCCAGGCCTAAACATTCTTATGCATTAATCTCTCCTGAGGAGTTCAGTGACATAATATTAGACCTTTTTATATTGCCCCACGAGTCCCTGAAGCTCTGTTCATTTTCCTTTTTTCAGATTGGTTAATTTCTGTTGGTCTTCACTGACTTTCCTATTTCCTTTCTACCAGTAATTTTTTAAAATATTTCAAATATTATAGTATTCGGCTCTGAAACTTCCAGTTTTTAAATAGTTTGCTTCTTTGTTGAGAACTCTTCCACTCATTTCAAGAGTTTGTGCTTTTACTATGGAGCATACTATAAAAGCTGTTTTAAAGACCTTGGTGATCCTAATATCAGAATTATCTCAGAATTAGTGCCTGTTGATCACCAGTTCCCCTGAGAGATGGCCACAGCTTACTAGGATATTGAGTAATTGTATATTGTATATTATGTTTATGTTAAAACCCTCTGTAGAGTGTTGATTTGTTTTGCTAGGGTTTTAGGAGGCAGTCACACTAGCTAGGTTTACACCACAGGTTCTATCTCACCTCAGAGGTCCTCGTAGCTATGATATGGCAACTGAAAATATGGTCTCCAGGCAGTACAGTTTAAGAGCAGTGAGAAAGGGATGGCTTTAAAAAGAAGCAGAAGGACCTGGTGACAGATCAGATGCAAAGATGAAAACAAGTCAAGGATGACTTACTCCCCAGCTCCAAGCCCTGATGCTAACTGAAGCAGGGAAAACAAGGAGACCATTTGGGGAGGGAGAAGAGTTTTAGATGAACTTGCAGAGATTTGATATTATTTCTGGTGTGTCAAAAGATTCCAGAAAACTAGAACCAAGAGATTGTATATACCAAATGCATATGATAACATTCTGGTCCCGAGCCTTTCCAAGAGGAAATGGCAAAGCATTCTTCACAGAGAATGTGCTAGAGAATGTTTAAAATGGTTGTCAGGCCCCATGACCTTTCTGCTTTGATCAGGTCACACTATGGGATGGAAGTTTTGTCCCGTTGCTGTTGCTGGGACAGAAACTGCCCTGACTCTGACTTTGGTGAAATTCAGCCAAAGACCACAGTAACATGCTCTAGTCTGCGTGTGCCATTTGAAACCAAGCAAAGAAACAACAAAACCTGTGAGGTAGAGGTGGCTTTGCCTTGTTCTCATCTTCACTGGCTGAAGCCTAAACTCTAGTCTGTTCCTAAACCCCACTTGGCCAGTAGTCCTGAATGACTCTTGTTTGAGATGAGGACAAGGCAGTCAGCAGAATCCAGCTGTGTTTGTAGTGACTGTTGGCACAAGTCCTTTGAGCAGAAGGCAAGCAGTACTGTCATATGGGGAGAAGCTGGGTCTTCCTCTCCAGGCATCTACCTAAAACGAGTGCAGTGTGGTCTTCAGATGTGGCCTGATCTTACGATTAAAACCATAAAATACCTCCTCAAATGTGTGCAATACTTTCTGTTCTCCAAAGTGCTCCCACAATCCTTGTGCCATTTGAGCCTCATAACATTTCTAAAAGCTGTTTTAATGTAGTGATTAAAAGTCTGGAGCCAAACAATCTGAATTTAAGCCTGGCTGCCACTTACTAACTGTATGTACTTGGGCAAGTGCAGTGACTTCTGTCCTCCTCCCTCTGTTCATCTGTGAAATTAATAAAAGTACTTAAACAACATGAGGTTGTTTAAGTAGTGAGACACTTAAACAGTATCTGACAAAGAGAACTCAGTAACTAAGGCATCATTGTTAGCTTTAGGCAGATGTTTTTATTTCTTTGTTAGGAATAACTGAGTTACCAAAGGTCAAGTGATATCAGCCAGGTCTCAGACTGGGAAGAGAAGAGGCCCAGCAGGACTTTTTTGCACACAAATGGTGAGGTAGGAGGGAGGTTCTGTTAGTCTATGTTTAGAAAAGGAATCCTTACAAATAGCATCTCTGCAGACTGGTTAGTAAGTGAATAAAAGTCATCATTTGACACTCCTGAGAGACTACTTAATTACATCTTAATTACATACACACACACCCTTCTGTTCCCTCCCCCAGTCAATTCTGCTGGTAGAAGTTAGTAGGTTTGGGGAGGGGGTGGCATTTTTTTTTTTTTAAGAAATCTGCCTGGCAGAGAAATGACTTTGGTACAGCCAAGTTTCCTTTTTTGCCCTCGGTTACTCAAATCCTTCTTCACTTCATTTTTTTAATCCAAAAGTTCCATATTTATGGGCATGGCAAAATAAATTTTTTTTTCAGATACCATCCAAATATGCAATAGTGAGCCAGGAGTGTCTGAGTGACTGCTCATGATACTTGCATTAGCATCTGTGGCTGAGCTGTGAGATACCACACTACAGCCCAGGAAATGGCTGTCAGAAATCAGACTGCCACAGAACGTGTATTAGTTCTCTCCCTAGAAGCCTCTCCGTACCTCTCCTAGACATTTTCATCTCCTGACCTGTCCTACACTTTGAGCGTGCTTCTCCACAGCCACTCCTTATGCACTGCCAATCTGAGGGACCTGAGAGCATTGGCAAGTCAAAACCAGCAGAACCTCAGGAGCCTGAGTTCTCCCCTCTTGTCACCACCCGCTCCTACCTGCCAGGCCGCCTGTTCATCTGGGCTGTTTCCACACATGCAAATCAATAATCACCACACTTGTCCCTTCAGATTCCAGCCTCTGAGAGCCATTGTGAGGATTCTTTTAGGACATCAATTATTAAAAGTGCTTTGAGTTCCTTCCAGGAATAATGACATGCAATGTTAGTTCCAAAAGAAGTTATATTTGGAAGAATAATTAAAACCATTAGGCTATTACCTTCTTTTCTTTCACAATTCAGGGTTGGTTTGGTTTGCTTTTTTGTTCTGCAGTACTAGAGTCTGAACTCAAGTCCCTGAGCTGCTAAGCAGGCACTACTTGAGCTATAGTCTCATCCCAGGGTCTGTGGGTTTTTTGTTTTTGTTTTTTTTTTAAGCATTTTCTAGAAATTTTAGTTCTCAAGATTTAAGGTTGAAATGGATGCCAAAAATTTGAATGAGCAGAAGGCCTTTCCCTGAGGATGGAGTGCTTTGGGTTTGGATTACCCAGTTTTCTACAAGAAAGTGTTGTCTGGTATAGAGTAACAAGCCTTGCAATTGTTCCCACAAGACTGCATGTAGGTGCTCAGCCTCTCCCGTGACCTTTCTGAAAAGCAAGAATAATGACATTGGCTTGCGTTAACCCTTTCAGCATGAGCGCTGGGTGACATGACAGCAGCAGTTTCTTTCTCTACTGCTTTTCATTCTGGTATCCTTGCACTGCTCTCATTTGGTCTCCTACAACCAAAGTCCACCACTCTGCCTGGCATTTTTCTGATGGTACCTACTATACTGTGTTATGGGCAAACACCATAGCTGCCAGCCAGAGTGCTTTTTTGAAATGCGGTGAAGTTTTTCTAGGACAAGATTAGGAAAATTAAACAATATTAAACTATGTTCTCTTCCGTTGGCATTTTTTTGTGGGGCTAAGTCTTCAGTTAAAGAGCAAAAAGCTTAAACACTGTACATTTTTTCCACTTTTGCTGTGACTTTGCCTAATCTAAACAGCTTGAGGAAAGACAAACATCATATCCCGTGATGAGGTGGTAGAACAGATGTGAATTTTAATCTTTTCCAGGGGTGGGGAGTACTTGAATTCAGGGCCTCATACATGGTAGGCAAGCACTCTATACCCCTTGCCCCTAAGATGAAATCATCTTTAGTAATGAACAAGTTTTAACCAAAAAAGATATGTTTTTTCTCATCTGGCTACCTTAGGCTGAGAGAAAGACCAAAGGCTACATAAAAACCACAGTTTAATTTCTACTGCAGCAAAGTAGTAACAGACATTTAATGTAAGTGAAGTCAGAGTTGAAATTACTAAGACATTTACTTCGTTCTTTCAGTTAAACATACTGGGTATTTGTGTAGCCCTGTTTTATAAGCATAGAAAATTGTAATTAGAGGGCTAAATTACATAGCTGTGGTTATAGAGACAGTGAGGTTAAGTAAAATGAATGAGGAGCTGACTTTCTGGTAAAGTCTTAGTATCCGTGTTTATAGTGATTGTGTAAAGAGAGCCCCAAAAGTCAGTTTGCCTGAGTTCAAGGCAGTCACCCCAACAGTGCAGTGTCTCAGCTATCACTTGCCTCACTAAGTCTTTGTATCCTCACTCATTGTATATAGATAAAAAGTACCCACAAAATTGTAGGGAATACAGAATGAGATAATCAGTGGATTTCTCACATGATGTATGGCACGTAGTAATTGTTCCACAAAGGTAGCTTCAGTTAATACTCAGCTCAGCTCTCAGACCTTGGGCAAGTCCCTTCATTCCTCTGACTTAGTTTCCTTATTTGTAAAACAAGAACAATGTTTACCCTACCTGCCTGCTTTCCCTTGGATCAAACGAGAACTTGTCATGAAAGGACCTTAAATGTGAGTCAGTTAAGAAACTGTTGGGAGGCAGAGCTGTACACATTGTGACACAGTTGGAAATCATGACGAGGCACTGTGCAGCAGTGTCAGGTGTTGTCCTGTGAGGGTTCAGTAGGTTCAGAGAAAGGCAGTTGGCATTCAAGGACAGAAAAGATTATAACCTGATGTTGGGGGACAGTCCTTATAGAGTCCCCCACTCTCTAAGGACTCTCTGTGCCTTTACAAGATGTGGCTGAGAGTTGGGAATCCACCTTTTACTGAGGGCTGCTGGCTCATCTCTGCTGTGTGTTTCTTCTGTGGTTACAGGCTGAGCTCATTGCAAGCCTCACCCACAAGCTCGAGACCCTCCAGGAAGCAAAGGGGAGTCTACTCGTGGACATCAAACTTAACAACGCCCTGGGAGAAGAGGTGGAAGCTTTGATCAGTGAGCTCTGCAAGCCCAACGAGTTTGACAAGTACAAGATGTTCATAGGGGACTTGGACAAGGTGGTCAACCTGCTGCTGTCCCTCTCAGGGCGCCTCGCCCGCGTGGAAAACGTCCTGAGTGGCCTTGGTGAAGATGCTAGTAATGAAGAAAGGGTATGTGGCCCAGCAACTCAGTTCAGCACACTTTTCCTCTGAGCCCATGTACACAGAGAGGTACCATCAGACAATCATTGTCTGATGACTCAGGAAGATGAAATTCACTTTGGAACTAGGACAGCGTAGATGATGAGGGTAGAAAGTGGCCTCTCCATGCCTTGATGGAATGCTGACACTTAGAGCTCAGAGGATTCCTGGGAATGTAGAAACAAAGGTGCCTGAGTTTCTGCCCTCCCAACCCTCTCCTTCCTTCCTTTCTTTCTCAAACAAGACAAAAGCATGATAGAGGAGAGGGCAGGAACTGGAATTTGAAGCTCCAGGGAATCTACTTGGAAGATTCACCAAGTACCTTGTGGCAGATGCTCTGGGTTTATCGGCTTCCTGTGCAGTCTCATGAATCCTTACAATAGTCCATCAATGTTGGTTTTTCGGGTTTTTATTTGGTTAGTTGTTTTGAGGCAGGGTCTGATTATGTAGCCCAGGATGGGCCTGGGACCAGTGGTCCTCCTGCTTCAGCCTCCTGTGTGGTGCTGGGATTAGAGGTGTGTGCCACCATGGTCAGCTTTTCAACATTAGCTTTTTACCCTGACTGGCACTTAAGAAAGTAAAAGTATAAATAGAAATAAGAAAAAGGAAAATAAGTAGCCCAGGAAATGCCAATTTCAGCATAATTACCCTTGGTGGGAAGAGGGGAAGGGGTAACCACAGGCTTCTACAGAATCTCTAACTTAAGAGGTTTTTTAATCTGAAACACATGTAAAAAATGTTCACGTTAACCTGGGGCACCATTAATGACGGGTGCACAGAATGGTGAACATTTTCTGTACATTTCTGAGGTTTAAAATGTCTGAGGTTTTTTATTTGTTTGTTTTTTAAGATGAGTTAAAAGTCCTGGTTTTTTAACCTACAGTATTTTGAAAGGTACCTTCATTCAAAGTCAGTAACTCAGGGTTGTTTTAGGTCTGCTTCTGATTGAGAGAAAGAAGCCTACGAGGATGATTACATTTGTAAGATAAACCTTTTCACTTTCTCCTTTCCCCCAGGCATTATGTAACATCTGACAGGCTAGTTCAATGGGGATTTAGGACAATGACACGTGAGCCTTCAAAATCCTAAATAAGCAAATTTGTATTGAGGGGTATTCAAGCAATCCTATGTCCCCATTCATTTCCATTTTAATTTTTCCTCACTCACATTGACCTGAAAAGTCTAAAAGGTTAAATATTAAATATTTTAAAAATTTAATATGGTATTTTTTGTGTCAGGATGTTGGATAAAGGGCTGGTAGAGTGACTCAAGTGATAGAGTGCCTGCCTAGCAAGTGTGAGGCCCTGAGTTCAAACCCCGGTGCCACAAAAAAAAGTATATTAATTTTTATAAAGTACACTACCTTACTATTGAGAGTGTGTAAGAAACGTTTAGAAGGATATGAAAGCAGTGTCATTGCTCTGCAGAATTTCTCCTGTTTTTTTATTTAAAGGCCTAGGAAGGAAAACCTGAAAAAAATGGAAATTCATTTCTTTAGAGATGATGGGAAGTTTGATTTTCCTGTTGTTGTGGGTTAGGAAGAGGTTATAAAAGAATCCCCAGGAAGTCCTGTTAAAACACAGATTTCAAGGTCTTTCCTCCAGAGATTTTGATTAAATAGATAGAATAGAGGCTGAAAATTTGCATTACTAATGAGTTCCCAGCTGCTTGCTGCTTGCTGCTGCTGGTCCAGCACCACCTATGAGAACTGCCCTGGTAAAGCACTCAGGTCACCTAGACAATTCCAAAAGTCAGGTCATTACCCAGCCATTTAACCCCTCTCAACCGGAAGCTACCAAATGACTTTTACAAGGGAGAAAAATACATGATGTACAATGTACCAATTTCCTCACTGTCAGCAATTGAAGTAGAATCTTAAATATCTTGTGGTCCTGTAGAAGGTTGCCTTGCAGGGAGCCTGGCTCTTTTCTTCCTTCCCCATGCCCTGTGCTGATCTGCGCATCTTCCCTTGCAGAGCTTGCTGAATGAGAAAAGGAAGATCCTGGCTGGGCAGCATGAGGACGCGCGGGAGCTCAAAGAGAACCTGGACCGCAGGGAGAGGGTGGTGTTGGACATCCTGGCCAATTACCTCTCGGCTGAACAGCTCCAGGACTACCAGCACTTCGTGAAGATGAAGTCAACACTCCTCATTGAGCAGCGAAAGCTGGACGACAAGATAAAGCTTGGCCTGGAACAGGTCAAGTGTCTACTGGAGAGTCTTCCCTCAGACTTCACTCCCAAGGCCGGAGCCCTGGCTCTGCCCCCAGATCTCACGAGCACAGTGACTCCTTTGGGGGGCAGTGCTGTCACGGCATGTTTCCACTTTAACCTCTTCTCAGATACCCAACCAAAAGACCACCTCTCAACACTGTTTAATCTGAGAAATGGTTTGCTGCAAGCCACCATTTAAACTCTGTGGGCTATTGGGGTTTTCCTGGATAATAGGAAAAATCTGTCCAGGAAAAACCCTGGTTTTCCCTTCTTGCCTTTCACGATGATCTTCTGAGCGCTGGAATGCTGCTGGACACTTACCCTTTCTGTTATACTTGGTCGTAGAAGGAAAGTTAATGAAACTGTGAGGACTGATTGGAGGGTGTTTGATCGTTTAGCTTTTAGCAGACTGAGACAACATAGATGCATGTGTGTCACCCTCAGGAACGTATCCACAGTGGCCTTCCTTGCTGGTGGGCAGTGTACCCTGACAGCAGGGTACAAGTACCATTAATGAAGGGTCTGCAACACAAAGCCTTAAAAAGACACACACATTGAGGAAAAAATTGTAAAACCGTGAACTTTGTTATTTATATTTTTAAAAATGAAAAAGATCATTATGTTTGTGTGCTAACCACTTACTTGATTCTGTTTTGTGGTGGATGTAGACAATTATGTTTGAACTTTGTATTTTGTGAAAACCTTAATGAAGAATCCCAAAGATAGTCACATCGAGTGTGGAGCCTGTGTCTTCTTATATTCTTGACTCTTCTGATTTTTATAATACCAGCAGACATCCCATGCTTGCATTAACCTGAGCGTGGAGGAAATCCGTTTCCACTGCATCTAGGCCACACCGCGTCGCTCCTGTATCCACCAGCAGCACACATGTCTTTCCTAGGAAGGAGACTTTAAGTGACATGTTTGGCTCAGCATTCCCTAGTACCTCATGTCATTATCACCACAGTGGGGAGATAAAGCTAAATTTTATTGAGAAGAACATCAGGACTCAAACTTACAAAACTAGAGGAAATTCAGAATCCAAGCCATCCCATACAACTTGGGCTAAATATGGCCTATTTAGTGAGCTATATAATCCAGCTGTTTTACTGATGCTTTTCTTAAAAGTGGGTTTCTCTAAAATAGCAACTCTTATCAATCACACATTTATTAAAACTACCTCCTGAACCTCTGAGGACTGATTTTGCACTGTCATCTTTCATTGACTTCTCAGAGGGGATTCCAGAACACAAGTCATAAGCCTGTTAAAACAAACAGGACAGAACAGGAGGTTAGGGACCAGTTGCCAGGCTGCTTATACCACTGACGATGGTAGGAGCCTCACACCTTGAGCAGGTGGCTCACCCTCCAAGATGTGCTATTGGTTGGTTGGTTGGCTGGCTGGTTTTCTCACATGTGTTTGATTGCAGCTGGTGGCTACCTCTTGACTTGGGCTTTCAAGTATCAAATAAGCTAGTCACTGGAAATTCAGAGTAAAATCTGTAGGTTTTAATAAATAAATAAAGATACCAAATGCCTTTTTTCTCCTTAGTTACATTTTAGTTGCTTAAAGACATTTTTATCATCTGGTCAGGAATATAGAGACTGTGGCTTATGATTAACTTAGAAATAATAGACCACCCAGAAATTTCTTGTAAGCAGCCAAGCTATTGCTTTGTTCTTCAGAGCTGTGTGATCCTGGTGATACAAATGGGACAGCACCTTGGTTTCCCAGAAATATTTCAAAGGTTTCTCTCCTTACACTCAGGGTTCCCATCACCCGGGAACTCCGTCCAGCCAGGGAGAGCAATCAATAGCCATACTACATGACTGTTTTGAAATTAGTTGCGTCGGGCTGACATTTCATCAGAGGTGGACCAACCCAGGCACCTGAAACCCACTCTAGGGAGTAATTATCTGTATCTTCCTGATGCAAACCAGACTGAAGCCAGCCAGCAAGTTTCTGCCGATGTTCTTAGGGAAATTCCTTGGAGGAATTCTAGGTAGGACTCCCAGTCCCCAATACTCTTCAAGGTTACTCTTCAGGATTTGACTGGGAACATTTTGCATATTTAGTTTCTGATTTATACATGTAAAAGTGACCTCCACAGCAGAGTGACAGGTGTGATGCTGTTTGACATGCTGCAAGCTTGTGACCTGCTCAGATTTTATCCATTCCTGTATTACTCTAAATGTTTTTCCTTGCTATGTCAATGAGGGAGGTACTGAGTGGGACTTTGAAATCTGATTCTTATGTGGATGTGGTATTTATTGGAAAAGGACTTTGGTGCTTTGAAGAAGTCACCAGCCCAACTTTCAAAGTGTACTTCTAGATGCCTCAAACAAAAAAAGCCTATCTTTTCATCCCTTCAACAGTTTGCATTCCTCTCCCAACTATTGAGAGCAGAAGCTACTCTTCCTTACAATATCCCCCACTTAAATCATGAGAACCACAATCACAGCAGTTTTTGGTCTGTGTTTCACAACAAATGTGGTGGTGCTGAGAGTGTTTATTCAGTCAGTCATTTCAGAGATACACTTCCTATTTCGAATCAGATAGAATACTCAAATAAGGATGTTCCAAAAGTCTATGAAGTTTGGGAACAGACGTTGTCCTGGCACAAAACCACGTCTGCTCTTGGGATGTTCCTGGGCCTGTCACTACATGTTGGTTGACTCCACCTTTTCTCATGCTGTTTTGTTTCTTGTGGTGGCCACTTAACCCCAAAGAATGTGGGGAGGAGTCGCAGTGAACGTGTCTGAGTTTCTCTCAGAGCCACCATCGAAACCAAACATTTTTTCCTTTGCTCCAGGGGAACATTCTAGGTTTCACTTTGCACAGCTGGTTTCCAAACCAAGAGATTAGCCAACTGGGGTCAGTCCTTAAGAATCAGTGACTGCCTTTGTGGTGAGGAGCGAGGACTTGAATGAGATCCTTTGAAAACTCCAATTTCCCTGTTATTCCATGGTTAATATCTGATCTAAAATCACTTAGGAGTTTAAAAGGTAAAATATATGCCTTGAGATCTGCTTTAAATTTATATTTTATTCAAGCCTCTTTTATTCTTTAAATTTTTTTTGTGGTACTGGGGTTTGAACTCAGGGCTTCATGCTTGCTAGGCAGGTGCTCTCCACTTGAGCCACATACCCCCTCAAGCCTCTTTTGTTAAGATACTGGGTTTTTTTGGATACCTAGGAAAATGTTGGCTTTTTATTCTTACATAGTTCCAAATTTACTTCTGTTTAGTTTTACTGTCCAGGGTACAGGTTGATTTATTCTGTGAAAGTTATTTTTCTTCTTTCTTAGAACAACGTAAGTTTTATTCGCCTTACTACTAGAAAGAAAAAGAACTTCATTCCAAAATAACGTCTTAATTTCCAACCACGTGTTAAGTGGTCAAGTGAATGAGAGAGGGCCATCTACACAGAAATAGATTATTCAGGACAAATTTGCTGCCTTCACACTAGGAGGAAACCTGGGATAAAATGATGAAGACCGTTTTCATCTCAGAAAGAGCCACAGTTTTCTTATTCTAATTTTAAATAAAACCTTACTTATGAGAATTCAGATGCTAAGTCATGGCTCCTCAAACTCTGATAAAGATATTACCTGCATCAGAATCCCCCTTAGCATACTTGTTAAAAGAAAAAAAATTACTATGACACATCCAAGGTAGGCTGGGAGTCTGCATTTTAATGGTTCCTAGGTTATTCTGACATACTTTAATGGCCACCGATAGGACCCTTTATACAGTTTCTTTGTTAGGATCACAAGACTGGCATGAATTCATGTAATCCAGATTTTAAAATACATAATCTCAGAATTTTGAAGCCATGGTATATTTAGTGTATTTAGCTGCAGTATAAGTTGACATTGTCCCCACTATTTTTATACAACCCCCACAGTAATGACAGTGCTTTCCCTCCACTCACTCTGCTAGATTTGTTAAATTTAAACAAGCTAAGCATGCCTAGGCTCAATTGCACCAAGTATTTTTCCTCAAAAAGATCTACTTACCGGGGCTGGGGGTGTGGTTCAAGTGGTAAAGTCCTTGCCTAGCAAGCCCCAGCTCCTGAGTTCAAACCCCAATACCAGCTAAAAAAGAAGAATCAGCTCATCACACACTAATTTGACCTGCTTTTCACTGGAGACCTTAGGTTTCTGTGGCTTCATCACAGGTCTCATGCCAAGTATGTGTTGGGATCACTCTTGGTTTGGATTGACCAATGAAACAAGGTGTGTTCACAGCTGGTGGCTTACGCCTGTAATCCTAGCTACTCAGGAGACAGAGATTGGAAGGATTGTAGTTCGAAGCCTGCCCAGGCAAATAGTTCACGAGACCCTATCTCGAAAAAAGCACTGGTGGAGTGGCTGATGGTATAGGACTTGAGTTCAAACCCAGCAATGCAAAAAAACAAAAGTGTGTTCACTTCCTTTGAGAAGCAGCTATCAATCTCGAAACCTTAAAATGCAAGAAAAAACGTTGGTAAAGGAAGGAACTGACTCACTTATTTCAACTCATTTTATAAATTCCTCTCTGTAAGTAGAAAGGCAGCTACATTTCTTACTGAAATAACAGTATTGCTATTGATTTACACAATGGATTGAACAGAGGAAATTTAGTATAAAGAATTATTAAATTCTGATAAACATCTAAGGAAATTCTATATGGTACCCTAGAGCTAAGGAAGGGAAGAGACTTGGAAAGAGGCTTCATCCCAAGATGGGTTCAGACCTTGGAGAACTGAATTTGGCCCCTGCATAGCAGGGAAATTGGCTGGTTTGCCCAAGGTAAACCTGGTTTGCGCTCCCTGGACCAGCAGGAAACAACCCTCCAAAGTGCAGTCAGTCATCACCCAACAGCATGGCAATGAACAGGTAGGGGGCCTACAGAAAGGGCGGCCATTCAGTGGGAGCGTTGACATTGACATTAAGCCTTCAGGGCACAGATGCAAGCAGGAGTCTTTCAGTGCTCAGGTTTGTACTTCATGGGCCCAAGAGAAAGTTCTGTCGCCAGGACAAGGCTGCAAGGTGCTGAGACACCACACGTTCTGGGCATGTGGTTGGGACAGAGCTCCATCAGATACCCTCATACCCATACCACTGACCTGTGAGGCAGCAAGCATGCAGAAGTCCCCAGCTTATAGTGGTTCAATTTGTGACTTTTTGACTTTATTATGGTGCAAAAGCAAAGCCAT